AAAACCAGCCTGGTGTGGCAGGAAGAAAGTTGGACTGGGGACCTGGGGTTTCTGGGTTGTAGTCCCCACTTGAGGTTTGCTGGGTGATTTTGGGCCAGACACAAAACCTCAGCCTGACCCACTTCACAGGGATGTTGTTACCAGGCCAAATGGAGAGGAGAACCAAGGAGGCCTCCTTGGGTTCCTTGCAGGGATAGAAATGCAAGACAAGGATGCGATGAAGAAAACAGGCAGAATTCCTACTTGCTCTGAACAAGTAAGAAAATTATGCGAATGCAAATTCAGCAACAAAAGACTCAAGATAGCAGCCTTATTCACTAAAACAGTGCTTACAAATACCCTGTATAATATGCTAATTAAATATTGGAACATGAGATAGGGAACTGTTTGGTAAAACTTTAGTTTGTTCTAAAAGCTAATACATATAGCCTATTTCTATCTAAATTTGTTTCTTTGAGGATGCTGAAATAAAGGCAAATACAGAAGTGCAGCCAGCTTCTTGATGCTAATGTTAACGCTACTGACAGGCTGCATCTGATTTTTCCCCTTTCTCTTAGCCATTTGGAAATTAGCGGTGCTTCAGATGGTGCACCCTATGAAGCTGTATGATCCTTGCCATTGCTCATAACTGCATACCTTCTCACTGAATTTTTAAAAGCATCAGTTCCACTTCAGCAAGGCCAGGCCATTCAGAATTCCAAAATCCGGGGGGCGGGGTGGGGGCGAATTGATTGGGAGACTTCTGAGAACACCCGTTATTTTCAGAGCATGGGCAGCTGTATTTGAAGTCCTGCCTTGAGCTGTTAGCTGGGCTCCCCAGGCATGCAGGTCCTTCCCAGCCGTACCATTTTATGATGCAACACCTCTGTGTCGGACTGGATCTTTGCTGGTGTTTAATGGGTGCATTTTTGCCAGCGCATGGCCGTGCCATCTCCCCCTTGCAGCTCCCCAAGCCAGTCCTGGACATCACTGCCGGAGAGTTTCCCAGCCTCTGAGACACAGCAGAGCACTAACAAAAATGCAGCCTTTTCACTGGGGGCTTCCTGCTTCTGGAACACCCTCCCCTGGGACACTCACCTGGCTCGAACACTACATTTATTCTCCCAAGTTATTTGATCATTTTTGGAGGTCGTTACTTTTTGATGATTTGTTTCGGTGTCAAAGTCACCTTTCCCAACTTTGTGCTCTCTGGATGTGATGGACTACAACTCCCACAATAGTTGGATGAGGGTGATGGGAGTTGTAATCAGTGCATCCACAGGGGAGCGGTTTATGCGGTAATCACTTAAGTAGGATTTATGGCTATGACTGAGGGGCTTTTTTCTTCAGCAGAGCCGCTGCATGGCATGCAGAATTTCAGGGTGCAGTCTTTCCCCTCTCCAAGTAGGCCTGCAAAAAGCCCTGTCTAAAACCCCCAAGAGACCTTGTGGCCATTCTGTGCTTGCATCCAAACTTCCTGGACTGAGGAAGGAAAAGCAACCGCGTGTTTGGGTTCCACGGTTGCATCCCTGTTTTGCATTTGCCCCTCTGGGAACCCTGAGGGTTGAAGATGAAGAACAGGCTTTTCCGAAATAAATCCAGTGCTCCATTGCCATCCCCTTTGGGCTTGACTGTCCTCCAGACTTTGGAAAACAGGGATTCCAACTGTAGCAGAAGGGTTACTATGGATTCATCTCCTTTGCTGCTTTGTCAGGAAACATCCCTACAAACAGAACTCAGTTAGCAAGCGGCCATTAATTGGCTGCTGCTATTTTTATCCCATTCTGGACCAGTGGAGCAACCTAGTGATCTAGACTGGTAGCTCTCCGAGTTGCTGAGTTGCCCCAGCCTGTGGCATAAACAACCGACATCTTCTCTTCGTGGCATGGAGACGTCGCCGGAGTCTCTGAGCCTTTCAGGGAGGACCCTGCGCAGGTTCAGCCAGAAAATTGCTCTGCCATCCCCACCATCCTCAGAGAGCAGTGCCCCTAAGAAAGCATTAAAGACCTCTCTAACATGTTAAACTGCAGAGCCCCCTTTAACCCTTGGCACACTCTAAATGCTTGGGCGTGCATGCCCCGGTTTCTGGCAAAGAGGGCTGCCACACCAGACACCTGGCACAGTTCTTTGGACCCAAGCTTTTGCGAACTGGATATCCAGGTTGCAAAAGGCAAACCTTTTTCATCCTCGGTTGTCAGGCAGATGCTCTAACGACACCTCTGAAGAGCACGGTGTTTTACGGAGAACAGGTACGGCTCCCTGGGCAAGGAGGTTTATCAGCTGGAGCAGGGACCGCGAGTCAGGAGGAGATGGGGGAACAGGCAGTGGAAGAGAGATTGTTTTAATTACCTATACTTTGCCTTCATTACCATAAAGCAGCCTTCCCTGGCCTGCTATGCTGCAGATGTCTTGCCCTGCAACGCCCACCCTGCTTGAGCCTCGGCCTGGCAGGGTCTGATGGGAGCTGTAGTCCTAGAGAACATCTGAAGTTCAGCAATGCTGCTGCATTAAGCCTTATGGACTAGGCATATGGTCCAGGACCTTTCCGAGTAAAAGCTCGGAGTTTGTAAACAAAGGAAGCCCGGGAGAGGCGTCTGGGGAGTCAGTTGCAGGCCTAAGGGGCAGCGAAGGGCAACCGGCAACTGTGTTTAGCTTAAGAAACGGGTGAGGGGAAACATGGTAGAAATGTGTGGAGTTATGCCATGGAGCGGAGTCAGCGGAGAGGGAGACATTTTTCTCCCTTTGCCAGGGTAATAGAACCGGGGTCATTCCATGAAGGAGATTAGTGGGAGGTTTGGGACAGATTAAGGAAGCACTTTATTTATAATTTATTTATCGTTATTTATAAAGCACTTCCTTTATTTCTTTCATTCCTATACTGCCCAATAGCTCTCTACACTGCTTGGAAAACTATGGAATTAACTTCCACAAATTGTAGTCATGGCCAGCCATTTGGACGGCTTTAAAAAAGATTTGGGCAAACTGCTGGAGGAAAAGGCTACTAGTCCTCATGGTTCTATTCTCCCTCCAGGATCAGAGGCAGTACACACACATATTGCTGGGGAATGTAGCTGGAAGAGCCCTGTTGCGTTCCCGTCCCACTTGTGCGATCCTGTGGTTGGCCACTCCATCAACAGAATGCCGGAGTGATTTTGGAAAGGGCTTGTGGCTGTTTATGTTCCTAAGCAGAGGGATGATGCTGTGTCCCACAGTGCAGTCCAACAGCGCTATTTATTTTTTCGATTTATATCCTGCCTTTTTCCTACAAAGGGCTCAAGGCGGCTTGCATCATTCTCCTCCTCCATCTTATCCCCACAACAATAACCCTGTGAGGTAGGGTGGGCTGAGAGTCTGTGACTGGCCCAAAGTCACCCAGGTGGCTCCATGGCTGAGTGGGGACTAGAACCCAGGTCATCTGAGTCCCAGTCCCATGCTCTTAACCATTATGCCACACTGGCTATCTCCACATTACACTGAGCAGAAGCTAAAAGAACGGTCCTCTCTGGTAAGGTCACCTTCCTGCTGCAGGTGGGGACTTGGGCTGAAAAGGAACAGTGCCCTTTTACAGCCTTGGAGTGTTGTGCCAACACAGACGTTCACAACAGCCCTGCAGTGTAGTGCACATGGAAGGTTAAAGGTAAGGCTGGGTTTGATCCGGATTCTCTGTCCACATTCCAATACCCCTACAACCCCCCCCCCCCCCGCCCACTGCAACCAAAGTCAAGCTACTTAAATGTTTCTTTCATGTTTCCAGGACTCAGTTGCACAATATAAAATTTCAGCCTGTGTGGAAATCACACAATTGCCACTATGTCATAAGGTTTCCCCCCAGTGCAGCTGAGAAGGCACTTCTTGTCACATGTGGCCAAAGTTTGGCTTTTTCTATTCAGTTCTACAGGCAGGAATTTATATTTCTGCCGGGGGCGTAAGGAAAGCTCTGCTCAGACACCGCTGCAATACACCTGCTTCTCCGCCTTTTCTTTGCTGTCGAGAGCACTTCGTGCCACCCAGATGATGACACCTGACGGCCTGTGCCCCCAGCTTAAAACAAATGCAGCAAACACACTGCAAGAGGCCCACTGCATAAGCGCAACGGTCGCATCCGGATTCAGGGCTTCTCTGTCATGCTCTTGCGATCCCTCACCCAAGAACGCTTGCCAGGCCTTTTCACAATGCTGTCCCCCTCCTTGGCGTCTTCCAGGTTTTCCCCATGGATTTTTTTTTTACACCACAGAAACGACGACATTAAATTTCCACCCATAAGAAAAGCCTTGTGCAACCGCAGCTTTACTACACCACCCATGTTCCCCAGCAGCTGGCACACATAGGCATACTGCCTCACGACTGGAGGTTGCGTATACCCATGAGGACTAGTAACTTGTCTCCATTTAATGGCAAAAGAAGAGCCTGGCTAGACCAGGGCAGCCAGTCCAGCACTCGGTTCCTGCAGCAGCCAACCAGCTGTTCACGGGACACCCGTGCAACAGCACCCTCCCACCCATGCTCCCCAGCAGCCGGGTGCAGAGGCATGGCTCTCCGATCCCGGCGGCAGCACACGGCCAGCAGGGATAGCAGCTCCTGAGGTCCCTCTCCTCCCCAGCCGTCCACGCCGGCGGCGCGGGGAGCTGCTTTCCGACGCGCGGAGCGTCGCATCCATCGCACGGCCGCCCGGAGCCGCCCGCCCTTGCTCTCCGCGCCCGGCCAGGCTCTCCGCCTCTGCCCGGCTCGGAGCGTCTGCAGGAGGCGCGCGACGCGCTCCCGGGCGCACAGCACAGCCTCCTCCGACTGTTGCATCGCGGGCGGAGCGGGAGGGGGGCGGAAAAGGGGAGGGGGCGGGGAGGGGAGGGGAGGGAGGCTGCGCGGAGCTGGGCCATCGGGCAGGCTGCCCGCCCCCGCGCTCGCTGGCTCGGTCGCTCGATCCGTGCGCCGCCTCCCCTGCTCTCCCCCCCGCTCGGCCGGCGGATGGTACGCTCCATTTAAAGAGCCCTGCCCCGTTTCTCCGGGCGGCTGTCCTTCGGCGAGCGGCTGCCGCTGGCCCGCCGCCTTGCAGGGAGGGGTCCAACAGGTAGACGCCGCCGCCGCCGCCGGGACCCCGCCTGCCCGGCCCGGCCCGGCCCGGCCGCGCCTGCCCG